CAAAGGAGTCAGTCCTGTGGTTGAATATCTAGGCTACAGTACCAGGAAGGGAACCTAGTCAGAGAGGCGCAGATGCCCCGTGTTGAAGTGGAGCTGAGAGTTCAGAATTCACATGGCCAGAGTTCTTGGAGTAGAGTATCAGAGAAGAATAGATCTAAAAAGGATGCCCAGCAAGTATTCAATTGAGTACTGATCATCACATACCTTAATGAAACTGCACAAGGCAAGGAAAAGCCCATTATACCAAGGAGCAGAAATAAAGATTTCTAAGTATTTCTTGCAGAAACAACAAAAATGAGAAGACAGTCATTAAAATACTGACAGAAAAAAAAAAAAACTAAAAACACCTGGAATTCTATTCTACTGTTATCTTTAAAACATAAAGGCAAAATAAACTTTTTTCAAAATAAACTTTTTAGACATATAAAAGCTGTACTACACCTGTACTACATAAATACCAAAGTACTTCAGACAGAAGAAAAATTATAACATATAAAAAGAACTATGTAAAGAAATGAATGGCAATGAAACTGACAAATGACAGATTAAAAATACTCAAGAAAAGTTTTAATTGTTTAAAATTACTTAAAGATAAATTGATTGTGTGAATAAAAATAACACTGAATTAGTGTGGGGTTTATAACATGGGTAACTTTTTACAGTAATAGGACAAAGGGAGGGGAAAAATAACATGTCTTAAGGATCTTACAGTAATTTAAGGCAGACTATGATAAGTGAAAGATGTCTTATGACTCTTTCAGACGTTACAAGAAAACTATTTCCATAGATAAATGTAAAAACTAGTAAATAGAATCTAGTTATATAAATAAAGAATGACACCTCATGACATTACTAGAAGTTTGTCCCAGAAATTCAAGGTTGGTTTAACATTTGGAAATCAATGTAATTTTTCATTCAACCAGAAAAGGCAATCCTGTAGTTATTTTGATAAATAAGAGAAAGCATTTGATAAAAATCCAACATCTGTTCCTGATTAGAACTCCCAACAAAGAACAGAAGGGAGTTACTCCACTTTTTAAAAGATCAGTTATGATGAAAAGAATGGATGCTTTCCTATGAAGATTAAGAATATGGTATCGAACATGTTCAACATTAGGCCAGAGAATCTAGCCAGTGAAAACAGACAAGAAAAAGTAACAAGCATAAAGATAAGAAGTGTAACTGTCTTTTTCAGCAGATATCCTTTGGATATAAAATTCAAAGGAAGCTGGAAAAAAAAGCAACTAAAAGTAGTAGTGAAGTGACAGGATTCAAGATTAATACACACACACACACACACACACACACACACAAACTAGCAGCAAAAACTCTATTCATATAATGAATTATTATTCCACCTTAGAAAGAACTAAACTCTAATGTGTGCATTAGATGATGCACATGGATGAACCTTGAATTCACTGTGCTAAGTGAAATAAACCAGCAACAAAAGGGCACATACTGTAGGAGTTACTCTTTCCGATGAGGTATGTGGAGTAGTCAAAGTCAGAGAGACAGAATGTAGAATGTGAATGCCAGGGCTTGTTAGGAGGAGGTGAAGAGTTATTGTTTAATGGGTATAAGAGTTTCAGTTTTTCGAGATGAAAAAAACTCTGGAATACATACAATACTGTGAATGTGTTTAATGTTTCAGTCAGGTTAAAATGGCAAATTTTGTTTATTTTACCACAATTTTAAATAATTTTAATAAAAATACCATATACAATGTACAATAGTACAAAATATGTACTGTTTAGGATATGCCTGAGTAAATGTGAAAGATCTGTACACTGAAAATTTCTTAAAAATCTAAGGATAGTGTTATATATTGCTGAAATTTCTTAAAAATCTAAAGACAGTGTTATATATTGGTCATGGACAAGAAGGTTGAATACTACTAAATGTTAGGTCTCTCCAAACTGATTAATAGAGTTAATATAATCCCAATTAAATAACCTGCTACCTTTTTTTTTTTTTGTAGAGGTTAACAAACTGATTCTAAAATGCATATGCAAGTACAAAGGATCGAGAAAATTCTGAAATGGAAGTGTAAAGTTTTAAAATCTTACCCTGATTTCAAGACTCACTATTAAATCTACAGTGACCAAAACTGTTCAGACAAATAAATCAAACAAAACAAGAATCCAAGATTAGATCCATACATATATGGACAACTGATTGTTGACAAAGGTGCACAAAAACAATTTTTGAAGTCTTTTTAATAACTGGTGTTGGATAACTATTTCCACATCCAAAAAACAGAACTTCAGTTCATACCACGCACCAAATACAAAAATTAACCCCAAACAGATCTTAAGACTTTAAATGTAAAACCCAACAAGCTTTACAAAAGGAAACACAGGAGAAAAATCATTGTGATATGGGTCAGGCAAACATTGCTTAGCACCAAAAGTACAATCCCATAAAAGAACATATTGGTAAAATGAAGTTCATTAAAATTTAAAACTTGTACTCCTCAAAAGTGACTGTTAAGAGAATTAAACAATAAGCCACAGACAAAGAAAATATATGTAAATCACAGAGAAAAAGACTTATATCTAGAATATAAAAAACAAAAGCTCTCAAAACTTCATACATGCAGTTAATGGATAAACACTTTGAAATGACACATCACCAGATATACAGACAGCAAATAAGCATATGAAAAACTGCTCAGCAACATTAGTCATCAGAAAAATACAAATTAAAATCACAATCAATACCAATACAGATCTATTGAATGTCTAAAATTAAAGCAACTGGTCATACCAAATACTGAACAAAAACTTTCATACACAGGTGGAAGACACACAAAATGGTACAACCACTTTAGAAAACAGCCTGGCAGTCTCTTAAAGGCTTAATGTACACCTACAATATGATCTTTTCACTCCAGTCCTAAGTATTTACTCAAGAGAAATAAGATATATATTCATATAAAGGCAAACAAATGTTCATAGCAGTTTATTTGTAACAACCAACAAATGAAAACAACCAATCAAAAGCAAATGGATAAACTGAACAGAAAGACTATGATATAGTATGTAAAAACAAAGGAATATCATTCAGTAATAAAAAGAAATGAACCAAAGAAACGGTTAAGTCTCACAACAAGCAGCATAGTAAGTGAAAAAAAAAGTTGGGCCAAAAAAAAAAAAAGCAAATGCTGTATGACTTCATTTACACAAAATTTTAGGTAACATGAACTAATGTCTAAATGACAGGAAGCAGACCAGTCGGTTAACCCGGGAAAAGGCAGCAAAGGAGGAATAGCAGAACTACATAAAACTTGTGGGGGTTAGCAAAGAAAGGGTATGTTTGTTATCTTGATTGTACATATTAAATTTGTATGTTCTAAATATGTTCCATTTAACTTATGTCCTTGTACTTGAATAAGCCTGTTACTGAAAACAAAAGAACACTTTAACTAGAAGGGAAGGTTTGGGTACACTCTTCCCCAATGTCTGCCAGCCAGCGATCCTGGGGAAGTGGTGACCAGATTGGCAAAGAAAAACCTGAACCTTCTCTGCACAGGATAGGTGTTGACTACCTGTTGGAAAATGACAGTACACTGTACAGAGGGAACTGAAGTTCACAGATGTTAAGTGATAAAACCAGACTGAAACGCAGATATGTCAACATCCTTCTCTTCAACTACCACAAATTTAAAAAGCTGACCTGAAAAAAATGAAGATGTGTTTGTGTGTTACATGTTTAGAACATCTGTCTCCATTGCAGCCAGGAAGTCAGAACCACTCTGGCCATCCCAGAAGGGCCAGGCACCACAGACGTTGCAGCTGAACTTCCGGTGTATGAGCTTCTAGGTGGCAGTGTGACAGGAGGCGTGGGTCAAAGCTGACAGGCAGGTTTGGAGTTGCATGAGGAACCGGCTCCTCCAGCAGTTTCAGCGACCTACCAACTGCTGTCCTAAAATGTTGCTGCACTATTCCCTCTCCCCCCAGGAGAGGACCGCCTCCATTCAGTTCCAGACAGGGGCCACCTCTTTGGGTGGAGGCAGAGGTGGTTGTGAGCTAAGGCCCTGAGGCAGGCAACACCTCTGTACCCACTCCCACGCCCAGAATAAGAGTCCAAACAGTGGCAGGGGAGAGGTGAACAGCCCTAGAAGGATGAGGCCCATAAGCTCACTGACCAAGCTCTCTGAGTCAGGAATGAGGTCTGGCTCCCAGGGCCATGAAGCAGTCAACTGGAAGCCAAATTTAGCCTCACCCCTGCCAGTGCCATCTTCAGGCTGGGCAGGAAGTTGGTCTGGATAGTGCAGAACTGAGGATGGCTCAGCTACCCAGCTGCCCACCTCCACAGAGGGCTGAGATCCGAGCCACAGAAGATGCCAAGTCTAACAATACGGATACCACCTCCTCTCCCACTCTCAGTCCAAAAAACCTCCCCTTTTCTCTCCCCCAAGACAGAAGCCTTCGCCAGTTTCTGCCCATTATTAATCCTTGGCTCTGGGCCCTCAGTATTTATCATCGGTGACAAGAAGATGTGGCAGGAGCAGACCAGGCTCATGCCCCTGCCACTGGCTGCTTCACTCACATCTCAGCTCACACAACCAACAAGGATTGCAAAGTAAGGTCCTGTTAGGTAGCGCTGCCTTCTCTTCCCTTTCTTGGAACGTTCTGAGGCCCTGAGAACCTGTGCACCGTCCCAACTATGGCACAGAGGCACCCTTATCTCCAAGGGTGGAGTGACTACCTCCCCTGAGATCTCAGCCTGGGGCCACCCCCTTCCCTCTGCCCAGGCCTGGAAGTCAGTCTCACCTCCAGTCTAGACTGCAAAGATGCCCCATCACTCAAGTTGGCACAGACTGCTGGGAGGGGTGGGGGCGGGCGCCTACCTCAGCGATGGAAGCTGCACTGCTTCTTCCCTCCACAGGCTCAAAAATCTGTGGCGTGAACCAGGGTCACTGGCAGACCCCTCTCCCGAGGTAACTGCAGCCCCTGCGCCCAAACCCAGCGGAGAACAGCACATGGCTTCCTTACCTGATGCCTTCTGCTGCCTCCCTGCTGGCACAGCTTCGAGGTTCTCTGGCGGTGGCTCCCAACGCTCCGCGATTTACAGGGCACTTCTGCTCCCCATTCCCAAAAGCCCTACATCTTGCGCTCAGCCCTGGAGCGATCCTGGAGTTGGCAGCCGGCCCTTGGTTTACCACCTCCTCCGCCGCCGCCGTCGCCTACGGATCCTGTGCCCCTCAGGGAACGCGTCTTCCTCCTGAGACCCCTTTCCGTCCAGGTAAGTTTCCTGGACAGCCCGCACCACTTGTCCCTCCTGCACCCCGGGCAGCCAATTTGCTTCCTGCACCCCCAAGCGCCCTTCCCCCTCAGGCCCCAGGGGGCCCACTGGCCGGGCCTTCCCCACCATTTCGAGTCTGTCTCGGCGTTCGGGGACCACTCCCAGAACCACCGCCTCCCGTCGGAGGCTCCCGTAGCTCTCCCAGGACCTCTCCCGCTGCTCCTCAGAACTTTCGAGTCCTTCCCCGCGCTCCCAGGAGCGGTCCCCGAACTCCGACTGCTGCAGCAGCCTGCGTGGGCTCCCCTCCCCCCGTTCCTGCACCCCAGCGCGGGCCTCCCCTCGCTCCTGCACTGCAGGGCTGCCTCCCCCCTTCTCCTGGTGCTGCTTTCGGGGCCCCAGGCCCTCCTCCTGCACCACAGGCCAGCACGCGGAGCCCGTCCACCGCGGCGGGCGCCTCCAGTCCGCGCCGTCCGGCGGCCCCCAAAGCACCCCCAGGTTGGGCTCGTGGCCGCGGCCGCCCCGCTCCTGCACCCCCGGGCCCACCCCGCCCTCTTCCTCCACGACTGGACCCACGCCCCCCTGCTCCTCCACGCCGAGCTTCAGCCCGCGGAGCTGCTGCGGGCCCCAGCTGAGAGCCCCAACGCGCTGCGGCTGCTGCTCCGGCAGCGGGTGGCTGAGCCCTCCCCGCTCCTCCCGCGTTCCCGGCCGGGGGCTCACCACCGGCACAGCCCAGCGCACTCGCCTGCCCCCCAGAGGCCGCGCGGTCCCGCCCCTCCAGATGGTGCTGTTCTCCGCGCCCACTCAACCGCCCCCCGCCCGGCGCCTTCCACCCCTTCCCCAGAGGGAGGGGGCGGCGGGGTCCCGTTCTCTCCTGCTGTGCGGTCCCCCCAAGTTCCGGGACCGCCTCCCACCCCTGGACCCCGGGCGTCGACGTCCGCC